GCTGACCCACGTTCCTCTCTCCCCCAAGTCCTCAGTGCTGTTAGCTGACCCACGTTCCTCTCTCCCCCAAGTCCTCAGTGCTGTTAGCTGATCCATGTTCTGCTTTCCTCCAAGTCCTCGGTCCCTTCTATACCTTTAACCACTTTTCTTTCCATCTCTGGGAACCAGGACTCCTTAACCATCATTTGGTGACTTTTGCAATCCTGGATGACATCTTCATCTGGTTTCTTATTGTGGAAAAAGGGAAGAAATGCTGCCCCAAGTGGTTACATGCTTTGGTGAAAGTGAAGTTCCCACATGGAGCCCCTGGGACACTATGTGGTGCAGGCAGAATTCTAACACATTCCCCACAACCCCTGGTGTGACTTCATGATTATGTCGCATTCTATGGCAAAAAAGATTTGCAATATTAACATTATTCATTAGCTGACCTAGAGACAGGAAACCATCTGGGTGGGCTTAACCTATCACATCGGCCCTTTAAAGCAGAGATTTCTCCTGTTGGCAGCAGCAACAGTGGAGGATGTCAGGATGATTTGCAGTGTGAGGGGAATTTGATGCAAGGGACCATCTCAGTTCTGTTGGGAGGAGGCATGAGGGAGGGAGCTGTGTGTAGCTTTGGGGTGGGTGCCATCCAGTAGATAAATAGGTGCGTGGTTTATACACTCGAGCGCCCCTCTTTATTTCCAGCTCAGTATGTGTCCTGAGATCAGACCCTAACATGTAGCTCCACTTTGATGTTTTGGCTGATCACTCTTGAAGAACTGCTGATTTCACTTCCTTCTTATCTCAAAAGTACATCCCACAGAATCTCAGCTGCGTCTCAACTTCAGGTTGCCTTTGCCTCTCACATATCCTAGTGAAAGGACCCCACGTTGACTAGTTATTGACCTATGGCATTCTCCACACTCTTTTTGCCTTTCACATAGCCTCTTCCCCCAAGCAGGAGCAGCAGCGTGATTTGTGGGGTCTAGTGCAAAACAAAAGTAGGGGGCCTCTAGTTTAAAACGTATTGGGAATTTCAAGATGGTGATGTCAGGACATTAAACCAAGTGTGGAGACCCTCTGAGCCCAGGGCTTTGTGTGACTGCGGTAGGATTTGCACTCATGAAGCTGGGCCTGCCCTGGAGGGACCTTCCATAAATGTGACTCTTTTCCTCAAATCACCCTGGTGGCCAGGGAGCTAGTTCAGGGTCAGAGAAGATTCTTAGACTGGATCTGATTAATATGGTAAATGTTATTTTAAATAATGACTTTGGCGGAAGTTAGCTGCTTGGCCCCCTATCCTGGGATAAGATGAAGAACCTAGAATGTCAATTTTCTTGATTCAGCCTAGATTTTCCAGTGTTCCCAAGACAAGTGCCCACTGCAGACTTACCTTGATGTAGTCATAAGGGCAGGGCACCTCAGGATGGTCCTCAATGTCGAAAATGTCCTCAAACTGCAGGCTGACCATGAAACCCTCCTCCAGCTCGATGCTGTAGAAGCATTCAGAGCTCTTGGGGTAAGGGTTTGGGAAATCGGGGCTGGTGATCACTCCGGTCCTCTGGGTAAAGAGGTTGTCGCTGCACTCCACTGTTGGAAACATAGCAGAGAAATGGCACACTGCACCCATGGCCACCGCGCCCCCTTGCTTATTTGTTACTGTATAATTTCCCCAGCAATCCCGTGTGGCAGGCAGGGAAGGAATCATCATCCTCATTTTGTGGATAGGGAGACAGATGCTCAAGAGAAGTCACTTATCCAAGGATATATGCCAAGTAATCTGCAGGGTCAAGACCCAATTCTCCGCCCAGGGCTGTTTACCCTGTGTGACAATTCTTCTCATCACAATGGCTGATGTTGGCTGGGGCAGGGGGTCTGATATGGGAGGGTCAGAGCAATGTCTGGGCTTCTTGGTCCTGCTCTCCCCTCCTCCCAGAACCTCACCCACCTGTCTGCACACAGCCATCTCCATCCCGCATCTCCTCCAGGCCCTCACACACACCCTCCCTTTCTAGTCCCTGCCTGGCTTTGGTTTTCTTCGAGGTGCTGTCTGCTCCATTTACATTTAGCGGAAAGCTGCTCCTTGCACATTTTAAGTTCAGGCTAAAGGTTTCTTTGTCCATAGTGAACTGTAACCTAAATGGATACGGTAAGCAGTCACCAAATTTCAGCCACTCACAGGTGGCCAACTGTTCGAACTGGACCAAATGAGGCAAACACCAGCGATCACCAGTGAGGCTATGGCTGTTTCTGTGCCTCACTTTTTGTCTTTTGTAGGCCACTTTCTTTTTTCTGTCCATAAATATTATCTGGCCATGTGGCAGCCCCAGGAGTTACTCTGAATCTATTTTGGTTTGGGGGGCTGCCCACTTTGCAAATTGTTCTTTGCGTGGTTAGACAGTCAAACTTAACTTGGCTGAAGCTTTTCTTCTAACAATGCCCCGCCATTACATCATATATTCATTTGTTGATTTTCTTGACCCCCCAGACTGTGGGATCCCTGAGCTCAGGGATTCTGCTTTGTTCCTGCTGTGTTACTGCAACCGTGAGTCCAGGGTCTTGGGATCCTGGGCATGACTCTAGTTGCTGGGACTTTTATTTGTCACTGAACTTTTATCCATGGCCACCTTCCCTAGACCTGAGATGTCAATTTTTTTAAGCCCTTGTTCATTCTGCTCATTTGCGAATGAGAAAACTGTGGCTCTGAACAGGAGGCTGGGCGAACAGGGTTTCACAGCCGTGAGCTGCGGAATGAGGCTAAACTGACATTCCCCAAGTCATCATCTGTTTTCACTTTCTACCCCAAGTGTCCTCATGGGGTGATCTCACCCCCAAGAGGGCTAAGCTTGGTTCTTGGTGGGGGAGATCTCACTTTTCTATGCATAATACACAGAGAGTACATAAACAAATATACAGTATATCCGTGGTATTGTGCGTCATGGAGGAAGAGAGTTATTATAAAAATAATGTTTGAAAAGGCTCCTGGAGTAGGGTGGAAATGAAAAGAATGATTGGGAAACCTTGCTCTTCTACCCTGGCATTCTTTAGCCCCCACTGTACTCAGCTCATAGTAAATATTCATGGGAAACTGAACTAAATAAAAGCAGTAGAAAACACTTTCCTCCTTAAGAAAACTTCCAGAGGTGCCTGATCTTTGTTTTTATGTTGCTTTATACTGACGGGTTATGTAGAGTTTTATTCAGAAGCAAATAGCAGTTTTTGGAGGAGGATAAAAAGCAACTCTTGTCTCCAGCTTTACCCCCTCCAGCTTCAGAGTGGGATCTCAGCACAGAGCCTTTCCCTGGCACCTACTGGCAGGGCCCCAAACGTTCAAGTCCTGTGACACCTCTGAATGTTTGCAGAGACGTTGTCTCCTCCTGGGATGCCCACCTTCTTACTCTTTCACCTCTGTCAAGGGTCGCCATCTCTGGGAAGCGTGTGCCCACCTCTCCAGGCCTGCTGGGTGTGACCGGGCCATGTCCCTGCATCCTTGGCATGACCGCAGGCAGTGCTGCCTTTATTACACTCCAGCACGTGCTCATGTGGCTGTGCTGCTCCTGAAAAGTGGGTGGATCCTTTCCTGTCTCCATCCCTCCCCCAGCCTGAGACCAAAGCATGGCAGTTTCCCTGACGAGAGACAGAAGGAACGGGAAGTTTCCACGTGCAACTGTCTTTTCCTCTCGCCCCCTTTTCTTTCCTTTGGGCTGAGGCCTCTCCACATAGAGCAACTTAGGAGCCATGGAAGGGAAGAGAAGAAAAAGGAACAGCTGGGGCAGGTATTGTTTAAGGCCCAGAGAGGAAGGACTCCAAACCCAGGTTTCCCCCGATCCTGCAGTAGGAAAGAAGACGGGACTTCCAGAGCAGACAGGCTGCCCAGGAGTGAAGAGGCCTGACAGCCTCGAGCGTCCGTTGTGTGGCCTTGGGGAACCTGAGCCACAGCTTCCAAACGGGGTGGGCATTTCAGTGTTTTTACCCACATGGGGTCTGAGGAACATCTCTGACCTCACGCTCCATCGCTCCTGCTGTGTCTGTCCTTCCCCCACCTCCTTCTAGGCTTACTGGAGATGGGGCAGGTAACGGCAAGGGACGGAAGCAGCCTAGCCTACCTCGGCAGGTCCTGTTGTCTGTGTGGAGGATGTAGCCAAAGCGGCAGGAGCAGTAGTAGCCGCCGATGTAGTTGTGGCAGTGGTGGTCGCAGGACAGCTCCTCGTCCTCCCTCTCCTTGCACTCGTCCACATCTGCAGGGCAGGGAGAGCCTCTCCGTCAATACGCACACCACACACACACTGCGGGAGGGTCATGCGTTCTCTTTTTTATTCCTTACATAAAATCTTGAGGCATCTATAGGGTATCCCAAAAGTCACCCATAAAGTGGGCACCATACATAGGGAAAATGGAAAATTGTAACTAAATGTGCCTTTATTTACAATACATTCATCACAAATTTTTACAAAGAGGTGGCCAATATATTGAAAGTACTTTGTGAATATTTTGTAATGAATATTTTGCAAATAAAGTTACATTTAGCCCTAATTTCCCATTTCCCCCATGTATGGCAACGTTATAGGCAACTTTGGGGACACCCTGTATTATCTTCATTTTATAAAAGAGGAAATTGGAACTCAGGGAAGTTGGACAACTTACCCGAGATCACAGAGAGCCAGGTTCAGACCCAGGCAACCTGACTGCTGGGGGGACCACTACCCCCCAACAGTTGTGATAATCATTGTGTGTTAGGCAACAAACTTAGGAAGCCTTCCACATTTGTTACTATACATTCTGTTACTGTTCACATTCAGAGACAGAGGCATTACAGAACTTACTCAAAGTCACACAGTGAGAGGCAGACCCAGGATTCAAATTTGGTGGGCTGGCTACAGAGTTTGTGCTCCTGACTCCTACTCCATATCGCCTCTTTCTTTCCAAGCCCCTAATGTGGGTCAAATCTTGTCTAGGCATTTCTCCAGAAGGGATACGTGAATGGCTAACAAACACATAACAGAATGCTCACCATCACTAGTCATCAGGGGACTGCAATTAAGCCATAATTAGGTATCACTACATACCTACCAGAATGGTTAAAAATCAAAAAATTGACAACATCTGATGTTGGTGAGGGTTTGGAGCAACCAGAACTCTCATACATGGGTGAAAAGGTATAAAATGGTGCAATTGCTTTGGAACAGATCTGGCCATTTCTTATAAAAGCAAACGTGCAACTATCCTGTGAGGCAGCAGTTTTACTCCTATATATTTATCCAGTGAAAATGAAAACATATGTTCACAAAAAGACTTGCACGAGAAGGTTCATAGAAATTTTAATAATAAGAGCAAAAGAAATAATGGGTGAAGCCTTAGGTGGCCATCAACAGGAGGAGGGATAAACAAATTGTAGTAAATTCATAAAAATGCAAAATTACTCTGCCAGGAGGAGCATACTAATCTATGCATCTCAAAACATTATGTTGAGTCAAAGCATCCTCACTCTCCACATATATTCTCTGTGAATTCATTTCTATGAAGTTTTAGAAGAGGCAAAAATTAGTCTATGGCAGAGAAAAATCAGAACAAGTTATTTCTTCTAAGGGAAGTGAGATCAGGAATTACTGGGCAAGAGCATGAAGGAAATTTCTCTGGGCTGAGGGTAAAGTTCACTGTTCTATGAGATGTTTGGGTTACACACAAATATAGATTTTTTCAAAAGTCAACAAATGTAGACCTCAGATTTATGTATTTCATTATATGTAAATTTTACATTTAAAAACTGTGACCATGTATTGAATTCTAACAAAATAATAAGCACGCTAAAGTATTTGGAAAGGAATGTACTAATGTCTGTGATTTACTTTGAGACGCATCAGAAATATGAATTGCTGAGTGGACAGAGGATAAATACACGGACAGATATGCGAGGAGAAAACGCAGTGAGACATAAATGGTAGACTCTGCATGGAGCATATATATACATGCTCACTGTAAAGGAGAGGGCCCAAGGCACGTCACCTTCAGAGCGAGGGGGAGATCTGGGGACAAGCCACCCGGACCTCCAACTTACCCACAGCCACATAGTGGGCATCAAAGCCTGTGAATCGCTCCTCATTGGAGAAATCTGACCGGAAGGTGACAGACATGAAGGAGCCAGGGGAGAGGACGACCTCCTGGCCGGGGGTCTGCTCTGTGTCTGTGGTCTCCTTGCCACAGAAGGTTGCCAGCACCTGGTCTTCAGTTTCTACCTTTGAGGCCAAAGAGAAAGGGAACAAGATGAGCATCTCTCCATTTTAACTTCTCTCCTGATCTTTAGGAAGAAGGAGAAAGGGACACGGCCTGGAGTAGACTAGACAGCTGGGAAACCCAATGAAAGGGAAACAGGGTCCTGGAATTTGAGGAAGGACTCATTACAGGTTAAGGTAATGCGGCCATCTGATCAGTTTCATTCATTTTAGTTCCATTAGAAGTAGCTTGACAATTATCCTTCCTATTGATAATCAAGTGGCTAATTTACTAAAAATAATTCAGTGTTAAAAAATTTTTAATTTAGATAACCTTGCATTTAGATTCTGCATGTAGCAGGAACTTACCACATTTCCAAGGCAAAGAAACTTTCCACACAATGTAAGTCACTCGCCGAGCATCAGTGTGTGCCTGCCACTGAACAGAGCATGAGATGGGGGTGATGAGAGGTGAGTAAGACACAGTGCTGTGTGCAGGACAGCAGTGTTGAGATGGAAGAAAACAGACACAGACAGAGCTACGTACAGTGCGACAAGTGCTTTAATAGTAGCACAAATACCATGTGTGCACTCAGGAGGTGAAAGATGCCCATTAGAATGCAAACTACAAGCGAGGAGGACTTCTCTTTTCAGATGTGTCCTCAGTGCATAGAATAGGACATGGCACATAGTAATTATCCCACAAATATTTGTTTACAAGAATTAAAAGTGCAAGACCCACTCTGAGAACAATGAGAAGCCAGGGAGTCTGTGGGGGTTGTAGGAGGAGATGTACTTGGAAGGATATGTGGAAAGTAGATTATGGTTGACCTTTAATGTCATGAACGCTGGGAGCAAGTAGAAGACATTGAACACTTTTAAAGAGGGAAATCACGTAATCAGAACTATATTTAATAGGTAGTCTTACTAAGACTACAGAAATGCAGAAACTATTGATTAGAATCATCCAGAAAATGTGCCTGTTTATGTATCTCAGGGAATGTGTGCATGTTTGTTAAGACTTAGATGCAAAAAATTGTCTATTTGCTAAGAAATTTCCCTCCTTTGGAAGAGCCAGAGGCCCTATGCAAACTCAGACTCCAGGAGAAATCCTCAACTGGCTGCCTACAGTGGACTTTATGAGAGTCTGCTCTGAGAAACTCAATCTGCCAGCTGGTTGGTGTATTTATTTGACTGTGAATACTTGTCCTGCCCACTACTCTATTGTCTTACCCCTAATCCAATCCTTTTAAGCCTTGTAATTGTGTTTGAAACTTCTGGACTGATGTTTCAGCCAAGATGCATGAGAAAATCTCTTACCAAGAATCATTTCTGCCGCCTTTCAAAGTCATTAAAAAAAATAAATTCTCAAAGACGGCCTATCTCTAGTAGCTTCTAATGAATTCATTGTTTTGTTCATTAGCTTAGTATGTCAGAAGTATCATGACATTTGACACTTCTGTTTTGAAACTAATGGTTTATTTATTTAAAATAAGTGGGAGTTTTAAAGAAAAACAATTTGCCCTGGCAAAAAACACAAGGACAATTAATCACTAACTTTGGGAACTGAAGTGTAAACAGAACGATGAGATCATAGCTCTGCTATTTATTCCTCTTCTCTGCAGATACGAGCTGGACTCGCACCAGCCTTATTAATGTAGAATGTGCCTATCTGCACACAGCTGAAATGTCACTTGCTTGAACATCCTGGCTGCTGTGTTATTTGGGTTGCTTTAGTTTCCCAGATAGTTGAAGGTTTACCTAACTATAATTAAATAAAATTTTATTGATTCACCCTTGTTTTTTTAAAGTGCCTTATACAAGTCCCTACTTTCTTAAGTGAAATATGCTAACCCTTTCTTGGCAATCCAGAGACATTGCTATGAATATCAACCATTATGATTTTACATCAAAGTGATAATCTTGGGAATATTAAATTTTATAATAGTGTTGCCCTACATTGAACACTACCAGACGGTGAGGCCTTGACATTCTTATGTCTTCTTAATGCAGTGATTTATTTCCTGATTTTTTGTCCAGTCTATTAACTGTACTCTCCTGTCTGCCTATTTTTAATATATTATGAATTAGAAACCAGTTAAAGTGCTCTTGCGGGAACTTAATAAAAAGAAGACTAAATAGATTTAGAGTGAGAGCCTAGCAAAGAAACTAAGAGTGCCGGCATATACTGTACTGCACCATCTTGGTGACCTCCTTTTTGGAGTAACTTGTCTGAACCTGATAGTTGGAGGCCCCATGTCCTATTCCTGACTCTGCCATAAACTGCTATATGGCCACCCCGTTCTGGCTGTCAATTCTCCACCAGGAAACAGGGGCTTAAGCTAGCCAAACTGTTGATTTCCTTCCAAACCTGATACAGCAGTCATTATAGACTAACATAGTTCCAACAAGTCATACATAATAAACCAACTAGAAGATGGTGACCAAACGTTTCAACAGAGGTTACTGCCTGCTGATGAAGTTGCACTTGTTTATGGTTTATAACTATATCATACCAGATCAGTTACCAGTGAACAGTCAAGTCTTGAGTGTCAACATTTTTAAGCCACATAGCCTCCTTTCTGTAAGTTGGCATTTCCAAGGCCTCTTGGGTTCTACTGTGACTAGAGCATGGACACCTTTAACCAAACCAAAGATCAGTTAGACTAGTGAGATACTACCCAGGGTCTGTAATAAAGAACCTCCTACCCTGTAACTTTTGGGCTTGAGCACCTTTTCATAATGGCAGACAAATGGTCATCACATGTAAAGTCACATTATTCCAGAGAATAGGTAAGAGACTCATGAGAAAATCCGAGCCATGTACACTTTTAGAAGCAGAGAAGAGAAGGCCAGTAGCCTGGGGCCCTGGGAATTCAGCCTACAGCCCAGAATAGGGTCCGGAAATATCAGAGTGTGGAGGGATCTTTCAAACCCCTTTCAGTTTCCCTCCTTCTAGAGGAAACCCACTTCCAGAGAGGGGAAATGACTTGTTCAAGGGTAAAGCGATAACATGAGCTTTTTCTGATATTAGTTTTGCTTTTGGAACTGTCCTAAGACTGGGGGAAAAAACTCACCAACTGAGAACATGACAAAAGACACAGACACTTGGCCAAACAATTTTCCTGGCTCAAGGGCCTCTTGAAACATTATCTTGCGTGCATGGACTGTCTCCTAGAGAGGATGTGGCTGTGACAGCTCCAGCTGTAACCTAAACAGAGGGGTCACTGGCCCTGGTTACTATCTGCATGCCCTGCTGTGGAGTATAAAGTTCTACAAAGATCATATACTTCTGAGTATAGGATTGAGCCCTAGTTTGTATTTGGACTGTCCCATCTCTGAGGTTATCATAACAACACAATGGAGGAACCTCAGCAAATGAAGACAAGAAATAAATGATAATAGACACCTATGTGGTTGAGGATCATAGACTCTTCATTTGTTTTAATTTTTATTTATTTATTTACTTATTTTATTTTTTTTTTACTAAATCATAACTATGTACATGCCCTTATACAATATTGTTATACAAGTCACTAAGATGACGCTCAGTGTCCTCAATTTGTTTTCTTTCGACTCAATTCAACACATACTTATGTACTAAATGCTGTCTAGACTATATTGTGGAAGATGACAAAATTTACTTATTGTTGTAGAGTTTAATAAGTAAGCCCCTGCCTCTGGGAAGGTGACGTTTAGTGGGAGAATAAGAGAAGTCCTCGAATGTGCACGAGTCAAGGTATTGTCAGGGCTTAGAGACTGCAAGGGAAGATGTGAGCCCCAGTGGTTTAAAGAAGGGAAAAAATTGCATCCAGCTGAGGACAGTCAGAAAACATTTAGGAAGAAGAAAGGTGAGGATTGAAAGGCAAGTAGGATTTAGGCAGATGGAAATAGTGAGTGGGTTGAGTGGTGGTGGGGAGAGCATCCAGGCAGAGGAAACAGTGAAGGCCTGCGGTACTCAGGGTCTTCACCATGCTCCATGGCTCCCATTGCAAATCACCTGGTATTAGAAAGAAACTCTGTTAAGGATAGGCAGCTGGGAAGGCAGATTTAAGGAGAAGCTGGAGTCTTCATTTTCCATGAGTTTTCTATCTAAGCAGAAACAGAACAAAACTCCCAGGAAAAACTAAGGCAGAACAAAATTTCAGCTACAGCTGCTCTCCACACAACCATAGGGTCATTACATCAGCTTAACAAATGCATTGGCAGTTACTAATCAGCTCCTCAGAGCAATGCATGGAGAAAGCAGCCCAGGAGTGATTGTTCCTGTTTGAGAGATGAGGAGATTGAAGCCTAGATAATTTAAATGGACTAGGCAAGGTGAATGGAGAATCCAGGGAGTAGTAATAGGTTCTGTGGCTACAGCTTCACAATCGCAGCATCCTGATTCTCTTCACTGATGCTCTTTTAAGACATTAGGGGAACAAAGGCTGATTTGCAGTACAGATGGCTCCTGGCTTTGCTTGTCAATGTTCCGAAACTATATTCTGTGGCCCTTCTGAAATCTACTGTGGGCCCTCAACCATTTCAGACTTAATCTGGGCAGATATTCAGGAAGTGTGCAGTTATCGATTTAGTCTGGGCACTACATCCCCTAGAATTTCTTATAGTTCTAGGTCAGAGTTGACCAAAAGAGGAATTTGCGCAAGTTTGAATGGCAATAGTTATTAGTCTCAAAGGTTGTTCTGTAATCATATAGCGAGATGAACAGAGGCAGACACGTTGAATGAGTTCCAACTTATCCGTACATCCCTCTACCCTGCATGCCACTGTTCTTTCCAACTACTGGCTCTGATGACCCAAAGGGACCCATGTCTACCTCTGGGTACTTGCAGATGAACCTGTAAGAGGTGGTAGCTGCTTAGAGCCAAAGCTTCCCATGTGCCTCTTTCTATGAGCCTTGCCTTCTTGGTCCCACTTTGAGACCTTAGATGGACTTGACTTATCAAATCCCCTTTGATGACAACATTTCCACCTATTCCAGGGCTTTAAGAGAACCAGTTGGTGAACTATTCTGGGGTCTT